GACCCCTCCTTGGGTTTCCCAGGTGGTAGCACTATGGAAGGAGATTGTCCAACCTTCCTCGCCTGGCCTGTCTTATGATTTTGAGTTTGGTTCCACGTTTGTCTCTCACTCTATCCAGGATCTCCTACAATGAACCCTCTCTGAGTGGTTGACAGTGGTAGATGGGCACCATCTAGTTCTTCTGGTTTCACAGTTGTATAGGCTGAGGATTGCATGGTCTACCAGTCCCTTGGACTGTTTCCATTAGTCTTTGGTTTTCTTCATTCTTCTTTGCTCTGGACGAGGAGACCCATTGTTGCATCTAGATGGCTGCTTGCAAGCTTTTAAGATCCCAGTCACTACCTGCCAAAATGGGATGTGGAACAATGTTTTGTGTAGTGTGTTATGCCAACTGAGCTCGATGTCCCCTGCGACTATGGTCTGGGCCCTGCTTCTCACTAACAGCACCGCTCTGTGTCGCGGCCTCTGCACTGAGTGGGGCTGACACAGAACCTGCCCAGAGATTGGGGTGCTGGTGCCTCAGTGCAGCGTTGCTGCTTCTACTCACCTCTGAGGCTGGCTGGGCTGGCTGCTTGGCTGTTGTGGGGCCGAAGTCCAGGCCAAACACGTCTCGGGACTTCTTACAGCCGCCTCGGTCCTCGGGCGCCAGGGCTGGCACCTCTTCAGAAGCAGAAGCTCGCTCAGGCACCTCCGCCCCACCAACCTGTCCAGAGGGCACACCAAGCTAAGAGCAGGGACCAGGGGCCCCGCAGGCACCGGAGACTCAAGCCCCCGCCCCAACAGCGCCTGGGAACAGGGTGCAGGGCAGGAAGCCACAGGGTGGGCTGGCTCATTGCGTGTGACTGCGGATGGCTCATCGCGTGTGACTGCGGATGGCTCATCGCGTGTGACTGCAGATGGCTCATCGCGTGTGACTGCGGATGGCTGCATGGAGGACCAGGGTCCCAGGGCCCCCAGGACAGGCCTGCGGCACAGGGAGGGTGGCAGGTGTGGGATGTTTCAGGCTCCCTCGGCCGTGGGTGGCCAGACCAGAGGGCGAGGATCAGCCGGGCAGGTGTGCAGGGCGGCTGTGCAGGCCGCTCCAGCCCGGCTTCCACTGCTGTGGGGACCCCTGGCACCTCACGCACCTCGCTGTCAGAGCTGGGCTGCACCACCTCCCAGGTCTGGAAGTCCACGTCGTAACAGTGCAGCTCGTTGGGCAACGTGTTGTCTGCCGCACCTCCGAACACGTACAGGTGGCGGTCGAAGGCCACCATGGTGTGCCCATAGCGCCGCTGTGGGGGTGGCGGGGAGCCCCGCAGCAGGTGCTCGGTGGGGATACGTGTCCACCTGGGGGACGTGGGAGGGAGCTGGACCCTGGGGCTGCTGCCGACACTGGGGCCCCCCATACCCCCTTCCCTGTGCCCGTCTGAGAACTGGGGCAGAGTGTGATCAGGGGGGCACCAAGTCCTGCACAGACCGGCGCCATGGCAGGTGGCCGAGCCCTCCGCCAGGCCTGCCCGATCCCCACAGCCAGGCCCTACAGCAGCTGCTCCTGCAACGCTGCCCACAGACCCGGGAGCCCAGTCAGCCGGACACCCTGCCAGCAGCGCCTGTGTGGGTGGGACATGGAGCCTGGGGACTGTGCACACACAGCAGACGTGACCACAGGCCCGTGCCATTCCTCTCTAGGGCTGGCCCCCTGCAACCCCTCCATTACTCCCTGCACCGCTCCAGACGCGGTGGGCCCCTCACCCACTCCCAGCCTCCTCTTTGCTCCCAGCCCCTCTACAGCCTGGTGAGTGCCTTGTCATTCCCTGCTCAGTGAAGTCGAGTCTGGCCAGGGCCAGAGGATGGTATAGGGCAGAGGCTGGAGGCTGGCAGGGCTGGGCTGAGCAGCAGTACAACTGACGAGAAGAGGTATGACTTGCCAACAAGGACTGCCAGAGTCCACTCTGAGGCATGGTGCTTCCCAGAGACTGGGTGGGGAGGGCCTGCGTTTACTGGCCAGGCACTGGGATGACAACAGTCCATCGTAACAAGACAGAGAACAGAACTGGGGTACAGGGCCTGTGGGCAGTGCCACTGCAGGGTGGGGACCCCAATTTTATGAGGGACCCAAGTTGGCTTCCCTGTCCTGCGTGAGTCAGGCCCTCCTCCCAGGCCTGGCCAGCCTGAGAGTGGAGCTGGTCCGCTCTGCGGGGAGGCCGGCCTCTCCTCCTACCTCCCCCAGCCTTGGCCTGGAGGGCAGCTCCCGGTGCTCCAACCTGGGCTCCTAGACCCGAAGCGAGGCCAGCGCCACCGCCAAGTGCAGGTCAATCACAGAGCCAAGGGTGAGCAGCAGAGAGAGGGGTATTAATGCCAGAAGCTCCGGGGCCTATGCACCCCTCTACTCTCTCACCGTCGGAAGTCACCTATGCCGTCTGCAGGTGGTGCTGGTGGCACTGACCAAGCCCTTCCCCCAGAGGAAGGAGCAGGTGCCGCCCAGGGACAGCCACACCCAGGGACCCAGTGGTCTTGTGTGCAGTGTGCACACCCATGCTCCCTGCTGTAGGAGGGGAGGGCAGCAAGCAGACGTAGGCTCTGGGCTGACTTTGGGTCAGCTGGGTCACCCTCACCTGCCCAGGGCCCCGCCGACTCACGTCTTGTCCTTGAATTCAAACTGGAACAGGTTGTTGGTGATCTTGGCCCCGCTCTGTCCCGAGAACACAAACATCTTGTCTCGACACACTGCCACGGGGAAGTTGCAGCAGGAGGGGGGGATCTCGCCACTCTGGGCCACCTGGGGATGGGCACAGAGCTCAGCCCAGGTTTCCAGGCCCAGGTCAACCGCAGCACTGGAGCGACTTTTGCTTTTAAAATGTCCCTGAAGAAGGCTGACTGATCCATCCTTGCAGATGAGTTTAAAGGGTGAGGAACAGCTTCCCACCCAATCTCGTCTCACAAACCACAAAGCAAACCAGGTACTATCCGGTTGACTCTGACTCACGGCGCCCCCAGGTGTCAGCACAGAACTGGGCTCTGCAGGGTCTCACCGGCTGGTTTCTACAAGCAGACGGCCAGCCTTGCCTCCAAGGTGCCTCTGGGGGGACTCGGAACGCCACTCTTTCTGTCTGCAGCTGAGTGTGTTGACTACCCATTGGTCGTGCGGGGACTCCAGGTTTGAATCAAAACCCACACCCACTGTCGTCCAGTCTATTCTGACCCACAGCGCCCCTAGAGGACAGAGTGGAACTTCCCCAGGGTGTATCCCAGGCTGTCGATCTTCAGGGAAGCAAAGCCCTGACCACACCCACTGCCCTGGAGTTGATTCCGACTCCTGTGAACTGCTGGGGCAAGGAACCCCATCACTGCAGGGGCAAGGAACAGCATGTGGGGACAGTGGGACGCTATGACAGCTGACCTGAGAGTTCTAGTAACCAGGACACTGGAAAACGGATCAGATCAAAATGGCATCTGTTGCTTGGAACATTCTACTGACCCACAGCACAGAGCCTGGGGAGGGGCCTTGGTGACGTCGCTGCCGCTAAAACTGAAGGGGGTCACAGAGGAGATGAGGAGGGGAGCAAGGCAAGGAATGGGCTGGGGTTGGGCAGGGGAGAAGGCACCCAGCCCGGCCCCCACAACCCTCACCTCCTCCCAGCATGTGAGCTCCCGGTCCTGGAGGCCAATTGTCCACATGTCGTTCAACCTGCGTTAGGACAGGGTGGTGACCCTCACTGCTGGGCCTGGCTGCCAGGGAGGCATGGCCCTGCCAGGAGGGCTGGCCCTAAGGTGTGAACTTTACTGGAGGAGGGCAGCTGTATCGTGTCCCTGTGGGGCCGTGATGGCAGGACGAGCCCGCGCATACCCAGGGCTAGCCCCTGCCTGGCCCAGCAACATGCCCAAAGTCTGTGCACCCAGTCACTGTCTCTATTGCTGGTGGGGACTGCAGGGAGGCCATGCTCATGGAAACCACCACCAGTGGCACAAGGAAGAGTTTCTGCAATGCAGTGGCCAGCAGCCCAGGGCTGAGGGGCCGGGAGCCAGGGGCTGAGAAGGGCCGGGTCTGAACCCCAGTGCTGCCACTGCCCACCACCCCCAAAGCCCCTTCTCACCCCACTGCCAACCCCACAGGGCTCTGGCCCCTTGCTTTGGGAACACGTACATGCTCAGCCTGATGCATGAACACAAGCTGTGCTGGCACCCTCCTTCCCCAGGGGATGAAGGGGATCGAGCCCCATGGACCTGTGTGGAGCAGGAGGGGGGCCCCTCCCCGCACGTGTCCCCACACCCACCTTCCCAGGAGACTCTAAGGCAGGGAGGCATTCAAACCCACTGGGCTGACCTTTGTGGCCCAGGAAGACCCGCTCCATGCCTCAGCACACTCAGTAGGATGGTAGGACGGGGTGGGAGAGTGGGACGGCGCGGGGCAGCAGGAAAGGGCGGGGGCAGCTGGACGGGGCCTGCTCTGCACCTCAACACGCCCAGGGGGACTGAGGGATGGGGAGGCAGCGGCACAGGGCGGGCGCCACCTACCTGGCGTTGCCATCGTAGCCGGCAAAGATCCAGAGCTTGTCACTGTACACGGTGGCACCGTGGGCAGACCTAGCAACCGGCAACCTGGAGGGGGACCGAGGAGTGAGGCCATGCGTGCACCCAACCCCCACCGGCCTGCTCATGCGGCACGTGTGCCTGCACCCTGGGCGTCCCTGCCTGGGCCCCCCTACGTGTCTGGCCTGATGGCAGGCTCCGAGGGCCTCCAGCCTGGCATTGGTAGTAACTGCACCAGAGCGAGGGGCACAGCCAGGCTGAGCCCGAGATATGCAATAGGTGCTTAGGGAGACTCAGGCCCCCACACAGCCCCTGGACCCCCTCCCCGCTGGCTTTGCAAAGGCAGGCCAGGGACGCTGGTCAGCCATCTGTCCAGGTGTCTTCTAATCCAGGTGTCTTCTAACTTCCAGTCCAGGCCTGGAGGTGGCCATGGCCACACTCGGCCAGGAATCAGGGAGCCCCAGGGGTGCAAATGGTGACCACGCTGAGCCACTAACTGAGAGGTGGCAGTCTGAGTCCACCCAGAGGCACTCGGAAGAAAGGCCTGCTGATCTACCAAAACCAGCCACTGCAAAGCCCGCGGGGCTCGGTGCACAGGGCAACCTTGAGTCAACTCCACGGCAGCTTTTTTTTTTTTTTAACCCATTCCCAGCCGGCCTCCCTGAGGTTCCTCAGTTGTGATGCGACAGGGAGGGGGGTGAGGGGTGGAAAGGTCCCCTGCTCCTCAGGGCCCCGTGCAGTAGCCACCAGGACACCCCAGGAGTCTCAGCGAAGCATCTCACCGTCCTTCAATCTTCCACTCGGTCCACTGGCCAGTCGCAAATTTGTATTCAAAGAGGTCATTTTTATTCTTCAAGTTAGAATTAGAATAGATGTCCCCGGTGTAGCCCCCTGGGGAGAACAATAAATGATCAGACCCAAGGCAGGGTTTTAGCATCTTTGAGGTGCTGGAGACGGGGGCTGAGCCCGGCCTGCTGAAAGGCTTTCTGGAACTTCTTCCACCAGCCCCAGGGAGCACCAGTGGCCTGCCTGTCTCTGGGGACACAGATGATCAGAGCCCTGTCCCCTGCCCTGCTCAGGGGAGGCCACCTCCTGCCTGTCACAAACAATTCCCACCCTGGGAGATGGGGACAGTTAGGGAAGGGGGCCCAAGAGCTGAAGGGGCCCAGAGGCGGCCATGACTCAGTCCAGGAAGGTCATGGGCAACTTCTCAGAACTGGGAGGGCTCTGGCAGGAGAGGCTGAGCATGGGCAGGGAGAGCATGCCAAGCAAGGCCCAGCCTGAGAGGCAGCTTCACACCGAGGCCTGGGCAGGAGGGTAGGACAGTGGGACAGGGGGCCGGGGGCCAGGCAAAGGCCCAGGGGCTGCTCACCGAAGACGAACATGCTGCTCCCGTAGACGACAGCCGAGTGGTGGTAGCGGGGCGCTGGCGGGATGCCGGTGGTGAAGGCCCTAGCACAGCATGCGGGATGTGAGTGGTGGCAGGCCAGCAGGGGCCCAGGCCCACACCCAGCGCCCCTGCGGGCTCAGGCCTCCTCTTACTTTTTGGATTTTGAACGTAATATGTGGCTCCTTACAGAAACTTAAAAGAATCACCAAAAACACCAAATGTAGGTGCTAAGAATGGACAAGGATGATGGTCGAACAGTATGATTAAAGTCCCTGCGCTGCGCATGAGAAGGTTGTTGAAGGAAAGGTTTTATTACATGTGTATCTGCCACAGTTTAAAACACACACACACACACACACACACACACAAAACCTGACAGGCACTAAAACACATAGGTCACCACGGTGTCTGCCGCACATTTCTACCTCTGCATCACGTAAAATGGAATCCCAAGGAAGATGCTTTGTTATCTGTTCTTTCAGCACAACCGCAGGCTGCCACTCAGGCTTGCCCCACTCTTGAAACACCTGCGTCTGCATCTGTGGCGGCTGCCACTGCCCAGCCGCCCGCACCCCGCATGTTTCACAGATTGAATTAAAACCTACCGAGCCTGCGTTTCCAAGCCTGCTCCTTTTCAGAATTTTATTTCGTACATAAGCAGTTTTTAACAAAGAATTGTAAATTCTTCAGGGACGATTGATTATAAAGACAAATCTGTAAATGGGAGCTCTGGTGGCATAG